CCCCAGGACCCCACCGCCCCCGACCGCAACCCCATCAAGGAGCTCATGGAACAACCCCTCGCGCGCCACCTGGCGCACGTCGCGCTGTCCGCCCTGATCTACGCCTCCCTCGGCGTCGTGACCGTCCACCTTCCGGCCCTCGCTGCGCGCGCGCTCGCGCCGGGCCTCTTCCCACTGCGCCTGCGGCTGTTTGATCCCGCGGCGCAGATCCCGGCAGACATGCTGCTGTTCCACGTGCTCATACCGCTGGCCACTGTAGAGCACGAGCGCGTGCGCGGCGCGCTGCGCGGCGGGCTGCGGCGGTGGCTCGCCGCGGTGGCGGCGCCGCTGCGGCTGCAGGGCTACCTCCTGCCGCAGGCGGGGGACGGGGACGAGCACGCGGCGCCAGCGCCTGCGCAGCCGCCGGCGCTGGCGGCGGCCGTGGCGGGCCCGGCAGGGCTGGTGGGGCCGGAGGCCGCGGGGCCCGCGGGTGGCGCGGCCGCAGAGCTGCAAGGGCCGCCTGAGGCTGGAGCAGCCACGCGGGACGGGGGCGCGGCGGGAGGGGCACCTGACGGCGCTGACGCAGGGGCGAGTGGAATATCAGAGGAAGCGTCCACTTCGGGCGCCCAGGTTTTGGCGGCCGCTGCGCCGCTGCAGCGGCGGCATTCAGACGGAGATCGGCGACGACAACGGGGCGTGGAGCAGCGGCAGCAGCCGGAAGAGGAACGGGGGCAGCCGCAGCAGCAGCTGGGCCGGCCGTGGCATAGCTGGCGCCCGTGGCGCCGGCGGCCGGCGCGGCAAGAGGCGCCCGGGACGGCGGCGCAGGGGTTGCAGGAAGCGCGCGCTGAAGACGTGTTGCTCCTAGCACAAACAGCGCAGGAGGAGCAGCAGCAGCAACAGCAACAGCTGCAGCAGTGGGAGGGCCAGGATGGGCTAGGGGCCGGGCAGCACGTTCTGGCCCCGCCCCTGGCCGCCGCCAACACTGAACAGCCTTCGGCCGCAGACGCGGCCGAGGATGAGGCGGCTCCCCTGCTGCAGCCGCGAGCCTTGCAGCACCAGGAGCAGCAGCAGCAGCAGCAGCAGCAGGAGCCGCGTTTGCGCCTCCGCGGGCGCCAGCCGGCCGCGCCGGCCGCTGCCCCGCCGCCGCCGCCTCCTGTCGAATGGTACCAGCAGCGGCCCGCCTACCCTTTGCAGCTCCTCGCCCTCGGCGCCGCGTGGGCCGCGTCTGTCGTCGCCGCGCACTGCGCCCTCTTCGTCCTGCCCGTCGCCGCCGGCCGCGCGCTGTTCTCCGCCGCGGGCCTGCCGGCCGGCAACGACCTGCTCGCCGCGGCGCTCGGCGGCCTCGCGCTGTGGGGCGCCGCGGCCGGCGCCGGCGGCGCGGCGCGCGCGGCGGGGCTGCGTGGGCTGCGGGCGGCCGCACTGGCTGCGGGGAGGTGGGCGGTCGTCGGGGCCAAGGTGGTTGCCCTGGCTGTGCTCTGGCTGGGCGTCGTGGCGACGCTGCTGGGCGTGCTGTTTGAGCTGGTTCTGCTGCCCCTGCGGCTGCCGGCCAACCAGACGGCCCTGCTCTACCTGTACCAAGACTGGACGATGGGCGTGCTCGCCCTCAAGCTGTGGCACATGCTCGCAGCCATCAGGGGCCGCGACGCCGCCAACGGCGGCGGCGCGCGCGGCGGCGGCGGCGGCGGCGCGGCGGCGGCGGACGGCGCCCCCTGGCACGCGCACCTGGAGGCGCTGCAGGCGCAGGGCGTGCGGGACCTCGACTTTGGCCGCGCCCTGCGCCGCGTCGTGCTGCCCGTCCTGTCCGGCCTGCTGACCGCGCTCGCGGTGCCCTTTGTCGTCACGCGCGGCCTGCTGCCGCTGCTCGGCCTGCCGGCGCCCGCGCTGCAGGCCGCGAACCTGTACGGCTACGCCGCGTGCCACGGGGCGTACCTCGTGTATCTCGCGGGGGCGCGGCTGCGGCGGGCGCTGCGGGAGCTCCACAACGCCATCCGCGACGACCGCTACCTGCTGGGCCGCCGCCTGAACAACTTTGCCGCGCACGGCGGCGGGGACGCGGGCGGCGTGGGCGTGGGCGAGGGCGGCGGCGGCGCGGCCGGCGCGCAGGAGGAGGGCGCAGGGGCGCGTGTGGACGCCGGGCTGACGCAGGGTGAGGGTGGGGTTGGCGCTGAGGGGGCCGCTGGCCAGGGGGCTGGGGCGGCGCCCGCTGTGGCAGTTGCTGGTGGGTGAGAGCCCTGCACCTGCGCCCGCACCTGCCGCGGCCTGCCCTGCACACGGCCTTGGTTGGCCGGCAGTGCCTCCTTGCGTTCTCCTTTGTGGTACTCTGGAGCGATTTTAGTTGACGAAATGGTGTACATGCTCTCTGTGTGGCCCGCCTGCCTGTGTTTTGGATGGGGGGTTGCGTCAAGAAGACCTGGGTTTGTGCATCACATTGTTGTTTGGCGGGGCGTTGCTGTGCTGGCGGCGTGGCGCGGCATAACATTCCACCACCATCTGGGCAGCTTCTGCGCCGCTGCTGCGCATGCGTTTCAATGCCATTTCGTTGAGATCCAACATGGCGGTGGGCCAGTCGTGTCGATGCTCACCCCTGGGTGTAAGGCATGCCCGTTTGAAGGGTCGGGCGCGTTTCGGCGCGCGACCACCACTGTGCAGGGCAGCTGACCCCTTGAGGGCGTGTTTGCTCCATCACTCCTGTGTAATTGATGTCGCTTGGAGAGCTATACCCTCGTGTTGCGACGCTCTCCTACGCAGCAACGGCTGCGCGTGCACGACCGCAACATGGTATCTCGGTCTGGACAACGTTGATACACGGGAATGAAACACGGTCCGAAAGACTTGCAGTCGTCCTCAGGATGCCTATGAGCGTCTCCAACAAGATGACACATCTTTGTGTATCGGACGCGTCATCCATGCGTTGGTACAGCCTTGTGTCGGCCACGCTCGCTTTCAGACGGTTTCGTCCAGCGCGGCCACATTTCTTCACCAACATGGGCCCAGCGATGTGTCGAATGTGCAGCGTCATTTTTTCCATGGTAATATCATAGACGTTATCATATTACTAGCAGGACAGCTTGCGCAAAGAAACGGTGAGCCAGCAGCGGGTACGCCAGCGGGACACGCGTTGAAATAGAGCACGTCAGGTTTGACATGTCTCACAAGTGATCGTTGCAAACTCACTGGGCAGATGCGAGGGCGCGGTGAGTTCCGCGCCCTGGCGCCATTGCTGCTGGCGGCGCTGCTGGCAGGATGCGCAGCACCCAGCCTTGCTGCTGGTGTTGACGCCGGATCCGTGCACCACGACAACAGCAACAGAAGCGGCGTGGGCAGCTTGATGCAAGCGACCACCAAGGCTCACGCGCCTACACAACGGCCCACCCGCGCCCCCAGCCGCGGCGACAGCAGCAGTGCCGCCGTGCTGGAGAGCGGCAAAGTCAATACCCAGGCGCCGCCACTAGGGCTGGCGCCTCTAAGCGGCGGCAGCGGCGGCGGCAAGGCGCAGCATACGGAGCCGCGGCACGGCGCCTACCTCGGATGCTACGACGGCGCTGCCATGCAGCTGAGCTTCGGCCGCGCGACCGTCGCTCTCAAGCAAGGCGGGTATGGCAAGTGCGTCGACCACTGCCGCGCCCTGAAAATGCCGGTCCTTGCGATCAGCCGAGCCCTCCAGTGCACCTGCCTGGCGGCGGTGCCAGACCCCGCGGCCCAGCTGCCGCTCGGGGCCTGCGAATCCCTTGCGGCCGGAGGCGCGGCCGCTGCAGGGGCCGCCGGCGCCGCGACGGCGGTCCCGCTCTTCTACGTGCACGGGGCGCCCGGGCAGTCGTGCGCGGCGCAGCGAATGGAGCTTTCCGCGCGGCGGCTCGAGGCAGCATACAACGCGCACAACGCGGTGTTTGACGGCACCGGGGACGGCCTGACAATGTGGATGCGGGGCAGCGACGGCGTGCGGGTGGCGGCGCGGCAGGCGCAGCTGTACGGGATGCTCAGCTTCCAGGCGCGCACCAGCGACCTCCCCGGAGTCATCACGGGAGCATACGTGAGAACACCCGCCCTTTCCCCCCTTGCGGGTTGGCATTATGGAGGGATGAGTACCAAGCTGACCTGGTCTGATTTGAGTTCAGATTATGCACTTTTGCACAATGACGGCAAGGCAGGGGAGCAGAGAGACTCTGATACAGCGTCAACGCGGCCGCAGGCGCAACGCCTCAGCCCCTGTTCCCCGCCTCCCACAGCTGCGCTCGGACAAACACGATGTTTATGACGGGAGCTTCGAGGAGCTTGGTGAGCGCGCATGCTGCCCCTGACCCGCACCACCTGCCTTGCAGCTGCGCTGCCGCAGGCGTGCTGTGGTGCACCCTCACATACGACCCTTTATTGCTTGAGCATCATGCACGTGCGTGCGCACAAGCACACACTCACGCATGCACACACGCAAACATCTACTCATGTGCAACAAATGCACTCGACAACAGACGGCAGTCTGTGTCCATTGTCCATAGCAGCGCAAGGCAACCAATGTCTATGAAATCAGCGGCATGCTTTTACGACTGCCCATACACGCGTGCTGACAAACTGTCACACGCATGCACATAACACACGCAGTCACGCACATGCGCCCGCCCCTCAACCCCACTCCACCCCAAACACACACTGGCGCGCGCGTGCACGCGCGCACAAACACACCATGAATCAACGTGGCAGACATACTGTGGCTTAATGGCGCCCCCGCCAGCAAGCCCAGCACCCTGTGGCTCAACACATACCTTGAGGGGGCCAGCCAGGGCGAGCACCGGGTCAGCCCTCCCGACTACGCACGCATGACGGGGGGCAAGGCGCTGGCCTCAGACTTTCACACGTACACCGTCGACTGGCAGCCCGACCATGTTACATGGTGAGCTGCCGGGGGCGGCAGACAGGCCGCGGAGGACAGGGCCTGCTGGCCCTTGTGGCAAGCCACAACTATTGTTGTGTGCAGACAGGCGTTCTTATGCGAGTGAACATATGTGAAGCATCGCCCTGCTCAAAGGAGCCGGTGCACGGCGTCCTCACACGCCCTCACTCCTCGCAATCTTTGATGCTTCCTCGGCCCCACGCCCCCGCCAACGTCTCATCACCCCAACACGCCTTCCCCCCCTGGGACTCTGACTAGGTACCTGGACGGCTCTTTGCTGCGCCACGACGCACGCCGCGCCTCGTTCAAGCCCCCCAGCCGCCCCCTCTACTTCCTCTTGAACCTCTGGACGGACGCCGCCCGCGGCTTCCAGTTTGGCGGCAAGCTCGACGTCAGCAAGGGTCCCTTCTCCAGCTCAATCAGGAAGGTGCTGCAGGTCACCTGCAAGGCGGCCGTTGCTGGTGACGGCTCGTCCAACGCCACTGCAAGAGGCCCAGAATGGGTCTACACTCCACCGGCAACTCCGGCTTTGGAGGCGGGCGCAGCAAATCGGCAGGAGGCCACGCTATCAGAATCTCAGGACGACGCTCTTGCTGCCACAGACGGCGCCGTCGTCTACAGCAGCAGCGCCGCCGACGAGGCCCCGGCCGCCGAGCCGCCGGCGGACGGGGCAGGCGGGCGGCGCGGCGCCAGCCTCAATGCCGCAACAGAGACCCAGGGAGGCAACGTGCAGGGCAGCAACCAAACGGCGCCGGGCGCCGCCGGCGACGGCGCCGGCGTCGCTGCGGCGGATGCGGCGGGCCTGCCCGGCGCGTACATCGGGTGCTTTGATGGGGTTGCATTGAACCTGGACCTCCCAAACGCGCTGGTGCTGACCCCCAGCACCGCCGCCCGATGCCCCGAGCACTGCGCCTCGCTGGAGCGGCCGCTCTACGCGCTCACGCGCGCCTTCCAGTGCGTGTGCTCGTCCGTGGCGCCGCACCCCTCTCTCGCGCTGCCGGCAGAGTTTTGTGAGGCGCTGGGGTCCCAGGCGGTCGCTGGGGATAACCCCGCCGCGCTGACTGCCGTGGCGATGTTCTATCTGCACTCCGTGAAAGGCCAGGGCTGCGGCCCGACTGTCACCAAGCTGAGCTGGGGCACGTTTGGGGCCGCAGCCGCCGGCGACAAGCACAATGTGCAGTTCGGCGACAACGGGCGCAGCCTGACGCTGCGCATGCGCGGCGCCAAGGGCGCGCGAGTTGCGTCGAGGGGGAACCAGATGTACGGGATGCTGTCGTTCAAGGCATACGTCAGCCCGATGCCAGGGGTCATCACGTCAGTCCAGGTGAGTGCGCTGTGGGCGCGCTTGCCGAGGCTGGTCCGGCGTGCTGGGTGTGTTTCTGACGTGAGCAGCAGTGGGGGGCGCGAAGCTGTTTACGCCCTCCAGCAGAGGATGCAAAGGCTCTGGCCTGAGCTAGCGCGTTGGGCGCATGGCGAGATGATGTTGCCGAGCAAGTTGGCTCACCCCTTCAACCCCAGATGCGGTCCAGCGAAAAGGAGGGCGTCACCAGCGACTTTGAAGGGATAGGTGAGCTCAGACGTGCCAGCCGCAACAGGCACACCTTCTGTGCACATGCGGGCCTCTCCGCCTCCGTTCGCATGATTCGAGACAGCAAGTTGCTCAACACACTTCAGAAGGTGCCTGACAAATTCTCAACCCCACACCCTCGGATAAACCCCTTCCCCCAAGACTTCCAATGGATCAACGGCTACCCAGCCACCGAGCCATCCTCGATCTGGCTGACGGCTTTCAAAGCGGGGCCTACCACTGGCCGGCAGCAAGTCCTGCCCTCCCTCTACACAAACCTGCTGACCCGCAACATGAGCGCGGCGGCCGAGTTCCACACTTACACAATCGACTGGCAGCCTGATCATGTGGCCTGGTGCGCGCCCCGCTGCGCGGGAGCAAGGGGCGAGTGCGCCCTTCGACGTCGGCGGCGCGGGGACTCATACGGCGAGGGCAGCGCATGCAGCGGCCCCCTTCCCAGTGCTCGTGATGGTTGCAAGTGCACCTCATTCACCGGCGTCTCATTCGCCCCTCATACCTTGGCCCGACCCAGGTACTTGGATGATGCGCTTTTGGTGCGCAAGGGCAACACCGCCGACGCATCCCTGCCGGGCTCCCCAGCCTTCACGCCGGCCTCCTCGCCCCTCCACCTCATCGCCTCTATTTCGACCGACGCCGGCCGCGAGTTCCCGTTCGGCGGCGGGCTGGACCAGGGCGGGAGCCCGTTTTCAAGCGTCATAGCGGACGTGACGCACGTCATGTGCGCGGGGCCCGCCCAGAGCCGCGGCCCGAGCTGGCTGGTCGGCGGAGGGGCTGCGGCGGCGGCGGCCGGCGCCGGCGGCGCGGCGGGCCTCCAGCAAAGCGCCGTGGCGGTGCTTGCTGGCGCGGGCGGTGGCGACGGCCCGGCTTCCGCCGATGCTGTGGCCGCCGCAGTCCCGGACAGCGGCCTTGTTGTTACTGCCACAGACGCTGGAGTTGAAATCAGCACGTCAGCAGCCGCAGGCCCGCGCTCCGGTGACGGCGGCGGCAGCGGCGACGGCCCCCTGGGGCAGCTGGCCAGCCTGCTGCAGCGCCCGCACCATCCTGGGCTGACCCTTCTGCCGCAGCTCCCGCGGCTCTCTGACCTTCCAGGCCCGCACCTGCCCAGGCTATCAGAGCTCCCCAGGCTGCCGCAGCTGCCTAAGCTGCCACAGCTGCCGCAGCTGCCGCAGCTGCCGCGGCTGCCGCCCCTTCCCAGGCTACAGGATCTGAAGATCCCGAGGCTGCCGAAGATCCCCGAGATCCCGCTGATCCAGATCCCCCTGCCGGCCACCCCGTACACTGCAGCAATCATGGCGGGCGCCGCTACATCTGACCAGCCGCAGGGCGGGCCGCCGCCGGAGGACGCGTCACAGTCGTCGATGGTGATGGCACCTGAGGG